CACAGAGATCAGAGCTCCCAGCCCTGCCCAGCCCCACCTGCCACAGCCGAGGAGCCCTCGAGGGTCAGGGAGTTCCCGTGCAGGTGTTGGGACAGGTGAGCCATCACCGTGTCGATGGTGTGGATCAGGCTGCTGAACACCTGGGGGGTCTGAGGAGGGAGACAGGGCTGTGAGTGCCACAGCTGGGCACAGCTGGAGCGCCCCTGGGCACGGGGGGGTCACACGGATTGATGCCACACTCCCCAAATCGCTCTTTTATAGAACAGCTCCAAGGATTGCTCCCCCAGCCCCTGACAGCCCCTGACAGCCAGGTGTGCTCGGGATTCAGCAGCTGGGCAGAATTATTCTGACAACATATAAAGATTGGTGGCACGAGCTGAGACACGACAGCTTGGCCTTTCTTTCATCTTTATTTAAATGCTCCTCAGTGTAAAAGCTACTTAAACCCTCCAGGCTGAAACTGGATTCATAAAATCTCAGAGTTAATGCAAGTTTCAGTAAAAAGGAAATCTATTTTATCTGAAATCCATTTAGACCAGAGATGATCAAGGATTTGATGCTAAGAACTGAAATCAATTAGACATCCTTTTGTCTTAAAAGCATTTTAGGCTCCAATGAGACCTCCCTGTGCTTTAGCTTCTCCTTGTCTCAGTTTGAAAGCTCTCTCTCTGAAATCTGTGCTTTCTTAAGATTCAAGCAAAAAACTCAGGAAACTTCTGGATTCACCCTGCAGGTATTTCCTCAGTGACAGATGATAAAATAAGTCATAGTGCTAAAACAGCAAACACAATAATCGTGATAACCAGCTCTGTTCCCATCCCTGTGGGTTTATGCAGCTGAAGGAAATCCCATTTAAGGCCACTGCCTCACCTCTGCTCCATCAATCCAGTCAGACAGCAACATAAAGTCTTCAACAGCTTTTAAAAATGCCTAAAAGACAAATAAAACTCGATTATTTATTTCATTAATCAGCTACCTCCCCTGGCAAGGATCCAGGGCAGATCCCTGCTGGGATTTTCCCCCAGGTTTGTGTGAAGATGACAAAGCCACAGATCCACCCCCACCTGCAGCATCCTCACCGTGTTCTGGGGGGTGACTGCTCCAAGTGACAATTATTTCATTGGCAGCCCCAGCCCTGAGTACCTGCCCAGGTGCAGTTAACCCTGGCACTGAGCTCACTCTCCGGTTTTATCTGAACTCTTATCATCACAGAGGGCTTTGGGTTGGAAGGGACCTGAAAAATCTCCTCGTGGGCAGGGACACTGCAGTGCTGCTCAGCCTGGCCTGGACCCTGCCAGGGCTGAGCCTAAACCAGCCCTGGGGCACACACACAAGGGGAAAAAGCAGCACAGAAAATTGCACTGGAAAGTAATAGAAAAAAAAAAAAAAAAAGAAAAAAAAAGTTTCCAGCTTAAATTTATGTATTAAAAAGCCTTCAGAGAATGAGTCTAGTAAAGCTGCACTGTGAGATGTGGATGACACCACGTAACAAAACCCAAGTCAGATTTGTCAAAAGCAATTCATTAAAAACGTGTGTCAGTAATCAGGAAGTTTATTGCACATCACTTAAATCAGATTTCCCTGCGCTGTGAGGCGTGGGACAATCAGAGATAACTGCACAGAAAATCACAGCAGCTCAGCACAGAATTAGCTGCAGACAATGCAGAGCCTCTCCATCCATCAGGAAATGACAGGCTCGTGTGGAAAGTCAGGACTCGCTTGTATTCACTCCCAGAATAGCTCTGCTAAAGATAATCGTGTCCCACGTCTGTCTGCAAATCACTGTCAGGGCACACAAAGAGCAGGAACAGCACCCGAACAGCGCTGCCACGATGTGGGAGCCGGCTCTGCTGGCTGGGCTCCACTGCCAATGCACAGCTCACACAAATTTATCGGGAAAACAAAGGAAACAACCCATTAAAGCTTTTCAGAAAGGCTTTTGCTGCACGTTAAACTGTGATCCGTGAAATCCAAGCTTTAGAGTTTGCAAATGCGAAGCTTTTAACAGAGTCTCTCGATTGCCGTCCCTGTCGTTTTCAGAAGGTTTATTTGTATTTTTGGTGAGTTAAACGGCCCTGTCAGTCTGGAATTGCTCCGGGGAAGGCTGAGCAGAGCTGATCGCTGCAGCTCAGGCTTCTCCTGCTGCTCACAGCGGGGGCTCGGTGCCCATCCCTCCCCACAGCCCCCGGGCCCAGCTCACACTGAGCCCTGCTCGCTTCTCCCCTCTGTGCATTAACCTGGATAAAACCGATTCCTCTCATCCATCTCGGGGGGGACAGCGACTCCAGCGCTCCCCTGGGAGGCTCCTCCAGCCCTTTCAGGGAAGAATTTTCCAAGACCCAATTTAAGCCTCTCCTGGCACCACTTGAGGCTGTTCCTTCTCGTCATTGTTATTTGGGAGAGGAGATCCAGCCCCTCAATTCCTCCTCCATCGGTACCGATGGGTCCAAAGACATAAAGTGACATTTTCAGGGACTATAGTGAGACATTTCACCTCTTTCCTCTGATTGCTGCTCAACTCCTGCTGCCCCCCAAAGCAGCCCCTGTTTTCCCGTGTGTGCAATGAGCACAAGCTTTGTTCTCCAGCTGCCCTGGAGATCCCAGGCTCTGAGAAGGGCCAGGGTGTCCCTGGGAGCCGCACTCACCTCGGCCAGGCTCTGGGCAGTGTGCTCGGACAGGGACTCCCCGGGCAGCCTGAGGGACACGTTCTGCAGGTGCCCCAGCAGGGACCTGGGGCTCGGGGAGCTCCTCCAGTCCTGGCTCAGGGCGCTGATGATGGGCTGGTAGGCGTTGGTGGGGAGCTGCAGCAGAGACAGGACCAGCAAAAACATCCCAGATTATCCCTATTGACACCAGCAGAGACAGGACCAGCAAAAACATCCCAAATTATCCCTATTGACACCAGCAGAGACAGGACCAGCAAAAATATCCCAAATTATCCCTATGGACACCAGGAGAGACAGGAGCCAGCAAAAACATCCCAAATTATCCCTATTGACACCAGCAGAGACAGGACCAGCAAAAATATCCCAAATTATCCCTATTGACACCAGCAGAGACAGGACCAGCAAAAACATCCCAGATTATCACCATGGACACCGGCAGAGACAGGACCAGCAAAAACATCCCAAATTATCCCTATGGACACCAG